GCCGGTCATCCTTTAGGAGGGGCAAAATCTGTGCCCTCTGCCTCAGTAAGATGACCTTGAAAACTCGGAGGCAACCAGCAGACGCCTGCTTTTCACAGAAACATACAAATGAAAAGGAAGCAACACGATGCTTCCTGGCTTTAAAGACAATGTTAAACATACAAGAATACCATAACACTGGTGAGTTCAGGCTGTCAAGAGTCTACATTGCTCTCTGCAGAGTTTAATTTTGAAAGTGATAGTGTAAGCTTCATCTCACTATTATCAGACATTTTTCATTGGTGGCCACCAGATGCAGAGTAGTAATAGAATAAAAAAAGCTGACTTTCAGCAGTGGTCTACTATAAATCAAAGCCACAAAATAAGATAGCCTGCAAAATATCATCAGTGGGCAACACAGAGGCAACAATGTGCTCTGAAATATTACATAAAATGTTATCTGCAGGAATTAATTTGGACTATGACTTCTGTGAACAGTGAAGGTCACAACAAATGTCAAAACCATATATAATTCCCCCAACTCTGCAGTTCAAAAATTGCAGTCAGATACACGAGTATGCTTTGCCCTGGATCAACAGCAATGACTATCTACACCCATAGCAACACTGCCTCAGAGTAAAGGCTTTGGGAAGTTAGCACCAGATTGTAGGGGCTGATTACAGGGAAGGTTGAACAAGTCTATGATTAGTAAAAAGAAACAGGAATTAAACAGTAGTAACCTCAGCTAAACACAAAAGGGAAGCTGCCCTGAGTGTACAAATATTTGCCTCTAGTAAATAAGGCCAACACATCAATATTAATGTGATCAGTCATTCAGTTTTTTTCAATTTTACCCCTTAAATAAGTTTGCCATAGTGTAGTCTTGCAGTTCAACGGTTAACTTTACTGTGTGGAACAGAAAGAAAGGGTCAATGTTTTTCACAGACAACAAGCAGACGATATGGCAGTGACAAGGCCTAAGACCCTTGAAATTGCTGACAAATAAATACACAGCCGTAGTTGATGCCACTGGTAGCCAAATCTTCACATGGAATCTACACCCGAATTCAGTTACGAGAAAGTTGGGTTGCAGGTTTCATTTCCTTCAGTCTTGTGCTTCTCATCCCAAGCTTCCCTCTTTGTTTTCTTTTCTTGATAGACCACATCTAGGCTGAATGTCTGACAGCAGTCATATTTCTCTCAGGTGGAGTGGTAAGTAGAACACACAACAAAAAGACTGATAACACCATACGGTCAATAGAGACAGGCCTATCCTAGTTAAGGAGGGTGAGTTACATATTATTTTTAAATTTAAATCCAGTTTTCAGCTATTATGCTAATCCACTTAAGGCTTGGAGACCTCCAATTTTTCTTCACTGCTTTCTTCTATGACAGAAGGCTCTGTCATATAACATCTCCCGTTATCTGCCTCTTCTGTACTATTTCCCTCCCCAGATACATATTCTAGCCTTGATAGGACAAAGCAATGCAGAGTTAAAAATTTATACACCTATACTTGTTATATCCACTAGGCATAAAATATGAATTCAAATTACATGAAATGGGTAGAAAAAACTAAACTAAAATGAACAAATTAAACCATTTCATTCAGTATCTCAAGTGTTAAGAGGGCAGGAGTTTAAAACTTCAATGCCAAAACCTAAGTCTTACTGCCGAACAGAATACATGAAAAAGTAATTTATCAACCTGTTATGAATTCTGTGGTAACCTGCTTCCAAGTTCAGTGTATTTTCTGGAAGGAGCTGTAAAACACAAGGTATTTTTCATAATCTGGATTGGTTTATTTTTACATATTCAGGTGGGATATTCAATTAACACATTCAGTCTAAAGGACTATTTTGCCCACAATAAACTTATTACATCCTAATATACAATATTCAATACTGTAAAACATTTTGGACAAGGTTAGATTTTTATCCAACTAACCTCCTAGTAAAATTACATAAAAATCACTAAATCTGAATCTATCTTTTCATAAAGTTCTGCAGAAGTTTTTAATAATACACTTCCTTTCCCCTGTGTTTCACAGATATAACTGCAGAGAAAATTGAATTCTAACATGTAGATGTTATTAGGAATACAGTACTAGCGTTTTTACTATGGGTATTCTCATCCCTCCTCACAACTTAGGCAGATGCATCCAATTAGTGGTGAATCATTCCACATAAATTTCCTGTTTAGAACGTACTGGCAATACCAGCGTAACAACCTACAGAGCTCAAAATGGGGAAGAGAAACTCCCTTGGTCATACAACATCACCATTTTTGTTTACAGACAGACCCCCAAAAGGTGTTTTTTAAGTAGGAGAGTGCAGGTGTCCCAAGAAAGAAATTGTTCACTTCAGATTCCTAGATCAACTATCATTATGCCATTTTGAAGAAACTGCACTATTGTATGCAGATAGATATGTATATGCTACACATTGTATACAATATACAACTAGAGATCACTACTAGAATTAAGGAAAATTTGATTTATCTTGATCCTAAGCACTACTCGGCATATTTGTAATAAAATCATGCTTGAAGGAAATTGAGGATATTCTGATCGCTAAGCACCTGGGCATTTAAGAACAGCTGTTCTTCTGTACCATTTTACTCACTGAAAGCTGGGCCACAATTCCACAGAAGGTGCTGAAAAAGATAAGAATGAACTAGACAAACAACCTGGTTCTGTTTAGCCATGCTGTATCTTCAGAATAACTGAAGAGAAGTGCCTCCCAGCATCAAAGTAAAATAAAAGTCAGACTATCTGCCTGTATCCTCAACTGAAAATTTTGGTCAAGTTCCACTTTTTGAAGTGGAGAGTCCATTCTCATTCCACCTACTTTGCTGACTAATTTTTGCCTTCCCTGAAGAAGTTTTTCTTTTTTTTTTTTCCTCCTCTTTCAGGAATTGTCGTATCTTCTGCAGGAGCCTATTGCCCACATACTGCTGGATACTATAATATCCTAGTTTCTGATCCCTCCTAGGGAAGCCCATGGAGCTCCAAACTCCGAAAGTTCATAGGTGCATTTCAGAGGTGCTTCTGTTATTCCTCAAATGCTCTCCTCCGGAAACTCCGTAGTTGAAAAGACTAACACCATGAGGAAAACTGATGACAGGTAAACCTTTCTCTTTCTAAATAATGATTGATAGAAGGGAACAACTTTTTTGTACATTCAGATATGCACTTTATGTTTCAATGGTCATATCTGAAGTTTGGGGTTTTTTTTAAAAAACAACAGGAAACATTTTTGGTGCCCATAGACATGAAAAAAGTTCCCCGTAAAAGGTAACAAAACCCAATATGCCACTAAATATAATGTTTTATTTTAAAACAACTGATGATGTCACAAAGACTTTTGAAAAATAGGTTGGTATATAGTTTCATTTCTCTCATCTTGAAAATTACTTAATTATCTATCCTCTGAATAGCCTAGTAAAAGCTTCCACAGCATGTGGCCATCATTTAAATACTGCACTGAAAATATTTCAGTTCCCTTTAATCTGCATTACTTTTCATATACTTTTTACTTCAGCTTTTAGAGTTAGAACGCAGTGACAGGAATCTTATAAGCATTTTTAAAGGTAAGCAAGAGTACAGCCCTGTCTGACTTGTGAGAATGGAAAAAAAAAAAACCCTATGACCAACAAAGACTACTTTTTTGCCTATCGCCTTCTTCCTAGTCTTAGGGGGCAATTTTCTGTACAAGCTCATTGTTCTCGATCAGGCACTGTAAAGCGTACACTTAAATGAAAGGCTCTCCAGTGCAGGGGGCAAGCTGTTTTTCCTCCAGTCTGGCTCAGTAATGGTTAAGATTTTAAGGCTTTTAACCTTCAACAGAGAAATTGCTTTGAATTTTATTATAAGCTTCTTCTCATTGACCATTTTGATTGCTGAGGTTTTAAAGGACACAACCAGAAACATTCCAGACCACATAATAAATAAAGCCAACACAATGAAGGTAACTAGGTCTTTCAGAAGTTTGTAAGGACTCCTGGAGATGAGCAGTTGATTTCTTCAAGCTGAGCAGAGAAGCATGAAATGAACTTCAGCTTGCAACAAACTAGGGAGTCACGTAAGAAAGAACATGTCTCATTTTAATATTACTTAATACTGGGATTGAAAAGGCATTTTAACAGCAAAGAGGAAGATCCTGTAGTAGAGGAAAGCCTCAAATCTAAAGTAATCTGGAGGCACCAGTTATTTTAAGTGATGACAATTTTAGAGGTCTACACATGCCAGAAGGTAGTTTCTATTTTAAAGCACTATAAACAGTCTATTGTAACCAAGTGGAACAAAATTCCATTGATTCTTTAGAAAATAAACTTAAGAAAACTCTTAGAAAAAACAAGTAGAAAGCTTGCTACTAGCTCTAGTGATAAACTTATTAGTTTTCACTCTATGCAAAGGAAATGGAACAATATTAAGGTGAATGAATTTAGGTGTAGATCAAAAAATGAAGGATTATGCTGCCAGGGAGTGAAGGATTATCATCACTTACCTCCCTCATCCAGAAGCTTCCCACTCAGGGGCTGGGATGTATCTGAAGAGTAACATGTAATGGAAATTTGTAGCATTAAATTAACTGCAGCTGATTGGAAGCACCTGATGGAGAAGAGGTGAGAATACCTGCTGTTTTAGAAGTGTGAATAGGATAATCCCCAAATCTGACTTTCTGGTCTTCTGCCCTGACATTAACTATTAAGGTTAAAATTAGTCTGAACACTGGAAAAAATACTATAATGGTCACTTACAATAAGCTACTGGAGAGTAGTTTTCCAGACCAATAAAAAGAAAAAAGGCTCAAGTTATGGTTTTTAACTGAAACCATAGCCTCATGACACAAGTAGTCAAATAACCAGGCAATACACTTAGCATCAAAAGGAGACACAAGTTTTCATTGATCAGTACAGTGACACAGCCAAAAAACCCAAAACGAACCAAAGCACACCCATCATCTCCTCAGTAGACTATTTAAATACTTAAGTCAAGGCTACAGAAAACAAAATCTTACCTAGTAAGTGTGTACTCCCTGAGTCCTGAATGCAGGTTCATGGCAGAAAAAGTACCTATGCATCCACGCAATCGTTTATCTCGACCAATCTTCCACGTTACAAACAGTGGGCTGTTTTAGGGAAGAAAAAAAAGACATGATCACAGAAGCAATATTGACAGTTGGTGTGAAATTTCAGCAACAGTGCCCTTCCATTTCGGGCAATGGGGGACCAAATCTCTAAAATAACTGTATCTGAGCAGGCCATAGTATTTAGAAATGTTCTTTGCAATTCTTTTGCCTGTTCTAGAAACATTGCTCATGTGATATAATAGAAAATAAGATTACTGGAATAGTTAATGGACAGAATGAAACTGCTTGGTAACAGATGTGATATGCTCAGTGTCCCTCACTGTTACCCATTAGCCTTCTGCGAATGGGAAAAGCCTCACCTTAGATATCTGTACATAAGGAATTCTTTACAGAAGGGAAAAATACCCCTGTCACACTAGCCACCCCGCCACCTAAACACAAATACTTTGGTCCTTAACGCTTCTGGCAAGAAGCTACCTGAAATTCTGGGAAAACAAAATTTAGGAACACGCTCCAAACTGAAAGAACTGCCTGAGGAAAGGATATTTTCTCCATGAATCCCAAGTTAGTATTTAAGAATCTCAAATATGACAAGGAGTGGAGCAAAATCTCTAGTAAGCTGAACATATCTCAATTATATGAGTGTGACAGTTACAAAGAAATACCTCTACTATCAAACAACTTTGTACCAATATATACGCTAAGTTAACAAAAAAGAGACAAACCATACAACTTTTTGGGACCAAAGTTCTCCTTGCAGTTCTAGAGCATCACATCAATATGCAAGCAACAGAAAACCACACAAACTTGAATTTCTCAGGGGAGTGCACACGACTCCCGGATACCCAGTCCTCAACTCTAACAAAGATTTCTAATCCTGAGATGAACAGGGACATATAGAGAAGAAAAGAATATAAAATTTACTCTTTTTCCAGAAAGGAGACAAATCAAAGTGGATTACACAAACAAGAGTGCATTTTCCCTTACTGTTAGGCTTAAAAACAAACAAACAAACAAAAAACAACCCACCAAAGCTTAAAAAAAAATAAATCAGTTAAACAACTTGACAGAGTATTCTTGGTCACAAATAGGTTCACATTTCTGCAGAACAAGCAACCCCTTCCCACCCCCCACCCTTAAATCCTGAAGCAAATCTGGTGTTAATTTTTGTGGAAAGTCATAGGCCATTAAGGCATAAATATGTATCATTCTTCATATGATGACTACAGCCATATTACACTAACGCTGACAGAAGCAAGGTGCATCTCTGACATTTAGAGCACCTGCCACCACCACATACACACTTAAGGATGCACAACTGATTTCTCTCCAAAGCTATTTCATCAGGCACTGCTCTTCAGCATTATACACATGTACAAACCATCATGCTGAATTCATCTTGTTTTTCTTTACAGCTGTTTCTTACACAGTGTCCTTACTATATAGTCCATAGCCATTGCTATGATGATCAAGAAGTCTAGGATGAAGTAACCTACCTTACTCTAGCAGCTAAGAAGCAAGAGATTACAAAGCAAATAATTACCACATATGCCTTTAAGGAAGGGAGCAGATCCAGAAGCATGGATACAGTCAAAAATTCACAAAAAGTCAAGTTGGCTGTATCAAAAAATAAGAATCATCATCTGTTACTACTAACAGCTGCAAAGAATGAATAGATTTACAACAGTGCACTGTTAAGATTAACAACTATGAACTGCAAGACAACCTTTGGTAACTATGTCTTGTCTGACTCCTCACCTGAAGGATCAGTAAAAATATAGTCTGCAAGTTTCTCTGTATTTTGTGAAACAGAACCTCCCTTTCTAGTTATGCTGAGATTCTTAAAATATACTAAGGCTAAGAGCTTTATTAGATGAGCAGATCAGCCACTGCACAACTGCATGAATCACTGCGCAGTGTAACAGAGATGGAGGTAACTGTACTGGGGGTATATACGTAGGTATGTGTGAGGTTTTGGACTTTCAAGGAATAGCTCATATTCCTTTTCTCCTTCCATCCCATTTGCTTTGTCAGGTATGGCACAAGATATTCATCAAGTGATGGCAGAAAAGGATATGCCTCTCAGTCTCTATAGCACCAATGCAGTAGCATCCAGTCCTCTCAACTTTCCAAAATCCGTTGTTATCGCCTGCTGGTAGAGCAACTTCCTCCTTATTTGATTAAACTGGATGAGTTCCCTTCTTTCAATGATGATGAATAGAAGAGGAAGCTGAAGTCATATCTTTCTTTTGGATTTCCTTTTTTTTTTTTTAAAAAAAAGTTGTTTGATAAAAACTGACGAGCATAAAGCCAGAAGGGACTATTATCTAACATTTATTAGAATGCAGGTTGTTACACTATTCTCCATTCAGATCAACAAGTGGCATTTTACTAGAGTTTTCAAGAAAGGTATTCCAGTTCCCCTAAATGGTATTAAAAAAATTATTAGATTGCAATGGCACTGAAGACACTCTCTCCCCTTGCACAGAAACAAGCCTGAATAAGATTCAAATTGGGCTTCAGGATTATTCTCTTGACCTTTATCTTTGGATTATGAGATTTATTAGCTGTAATACACTTAGTGGCGGGCTATAATTCAGGGAAACATATACGCATTTACTTTCTTGTCAAATGGGAATTCCTTCTAGGATGCATCGTTACTGCTACTTTAAAAGGACAACAGAAGAAAACATCCCGAGACCATCACTGAATGTCAAATAGATTACTAAAACATTTGCATATGCTTTGAAGGTCCTTGTCAATGAGTACCAACAGAAAAAGTAAAGGTTATATACATATATTTTTGTACCAGTGGTGGTAGTAATATAAACATACCGTTTGGACTAAATTTAAACCTCTATCCATTGGGTAAATGAACACCACTGGTAGCCATACATGCTGACTCAAGATATTTTTCCAGCCTTTCAACTTCTGTATCCCCCACACTTGCCTCCTTGTTTCCCAGGAGCCACTAAAGGTATCAGCATGTCTACATAGAAGATATAAGCCTACTGAACAGAATTACTTTTCTTAATTACCATCACAGATGTCTTCAAAGTGTAATATGGACCAAAGGTTCAGAGCAGTCAGTGACCCAAGAGGATTCTAACTCTAAAAGATTCAAGAAATAAGGCTGAAAGGGACCTTCAGGGCTCCTACTATCATAAAGAATAATTATATTATATAATTCTGTTCATAAATGATCCACATTCTCCATCTTAAAAACTAGAAATAATGGGGACAAAACCCCCAAAATGCAAAATTAGAAGGTTGCCTCAAAACCTCACTGAAGTTCAGAACTTCTCGAAACGTCCCGATTTCCTGCCGAAATGTTTTCCCAGTCAGCTTGTACCTAGCTATTCTTGTGCCAACATTGTCCTTTAGTTTAAATAGTTCTTTTCCCTTCCCGGTTATTATTCCCCAAAGTATTTATAGAAAGAATTCATGTGCCTCTTCAGACTTCACTTTGCTGAGCTAAATGGGTTGTGTTCATTCAGTTTCCTCTCAAAGGGGCGCTTTCCATTCTGACCATAACAGCTTTTCCCTACACCTTTTTCCAGTTTAAATTTGCCTTCTTGAACATCAGTGTCCAGCACTGTACACAGAATTAGAGGAGGGTCTCACACTTGCATTAATGCTTCCATCTCTGAACTAGAAACACTGACTGCTACATTTTAGGATTAATTCTCACAGCCTAATATAAAGTCCAAGTCTGCCATTCAAAACTTTACAGAGCATTTCTAGTCTTACACTAAAGAAAGACAATAGAAAACCAGCTTATAGAACCTGGACAAGCTATGCAGAGAAATGAATTTGTTTCTTTCTAGTGATGTTCTTTTGCTTTTTATTGGCATCCTTGGTTTCAGCTGCTTGCCTATTTTCTCCAAGCCTGCAATGCTGCTCTTGTGTTTTAAAGCCAATAACCCACAAATAAACTTGCCATCTAACATAACTGCAAATCTGAGATCTGAGGCTAAGTGCCAAACTCCACAGATATCGATGTCAAGAACAGCTAAGTAAATACGTACATTTCCAACTTGAAAAAAAAAAAAAAATCCTGATTTTCATCTGTTATCTGTTTTTCTTAGAATAAAAAGGAGGAGTTTATTACGCAACACAGTCAGACCTAAAATGAAAATTTGCACCTCCAGGCACTTGAAAGAAAACAGAAGAGCAAACAGAAGAGAAAATCTCTAGTAAAAACCAGAAGAGGTGGCAGATGTGATGTGAGGAGTTCATTTTATCCAATGATGTACAACAAGGATATGCATCACATGCTAGAGACCCGAGTCCTCTTTTTGCCTAAAGAAGTTTGAACCCACATATCCCACAAAAGTAGGAGAGCATATGGAGGTGGAGTGCGCTCACCTTTCTGACTCTGGCTCCCTCTTGATCTAGTATGAAAGCTGGGGGGGGAGTGGGGGTGGTGTTTGTTTTTTTAAAAAACACTCACCAAACCAGATGCTGCACTTCCCTGGGAGGGCTCTAACAATCAGCTTCAAGTAGTTCTCTTATTCAATTTAGGGTGAAGCATCTTATTAAAAAGCAAAACAGCTTCGAGCTTGGGAGTGAGCCCTCTTGAACCAAGAGACTTGGAAATTCACTTGTCTGATGGGTTATCCAGCTTCTCATCCTGGTGCCAGGAACCTCTGACATATGCTGCTGACAGTGTTAACAACAGGAGTGATGCTGAGCACCCTGAATAATCAGTAGCTGAAAGTTGGTGGAAGATGTTTCAAACTGCACAGAAGCAGAAGCAGGGACCATATCCAGACCCTTAGAAGCATCTCTAAATATCTTAATCATTCTTCTTCCATAAGGGTCTGTATTTTGTGATTTTTTTGTTTGTTTGTGAGCCAGACACTGAAAAAAATATTTCCATCTAAAACTGTTTACAGGTGCCACAGCAAATTCACAAGCAACTTGAAGATTATAAAGTTTCCACCCAGCCATTGCCTAATTTATTATTTACTGAAAAGTCTTGCCCAGATCTGATCTAAATAGCAGACAACTGTTTCAGTTATTTGCCATAGAGGTTG